CTGGGTTTTTCTCTGAATGTTTTGATATCCTATTTTTAGACCTCTGGAATTTCTCAGTAGGAGGATAACTCTCCGTGGGAGGATTAAGAGTGATTTTGTCTCCCCAAGGGACGTTTGCTAATGTCTGGAGACGTGTTTGGGTGTCGGTGCTCAGGGAGGGATGTGCTATTGGCAGCAAGTAGAGAGAGGCCAGGGATGCTGTTTGATATCCTACAGGGCACAGGGCAGACCCACAACAACCAATATCCTCCAGCTCACAATGTCAACAGTGCTGAGGCTGAGACCCCTGCTATAGGAAACCACATCCGGGTGTCCATGCCTCATAGGCTAGGGTGTGCCAAGGGTGACACTTCCTGTTGCAAGGTCTCTGTGAGCAGCCCCAGTGTCTACCTCTTCCCATAGGGTTGCACATCTCTAGAGTGTGAAGAAACAGGCCATTCAGGGACCTTGTGTTCTCACCCTCGAAGTCCAGCGTAAAAGAGAGTAAAGTCGCTATGATTCTTCTTCCATGAATGTTCCTCATTAACTCAGCATTTTCCTGGTCATCCTATCTGGTCATTGTGTAAGCCAGGAGACTTTTGAAAGGAGAATTCATCTCATTAGATGTGCCTGAACCGCTGATAGGCGTATGCAGCATGAGGAAGGACAGCCCTATTGACTTGTCCTTGAAAAAGACATGGGGGTGGGGCAAGGTCATAGCTTTATTGTGTCTGTGAATCATAACCCTTACTGGACATCAACTTTCCCAACCATGTTTCCCTCCATGACAGCTCTTCTGCGTCTTTCCTTACCCAGACCTTGGACTGATTCAATCAGCTGGTCTAACTGAACTGATTTAACATGCTTTAGTGGAGGCGAGGGTAGAAAAGAAGAGATTAGGAGAGAAAGACACTCAACACGAATTTGTGGGTTTAAAGAAGCAAATTTAGGATACCTGTGTCCCCCCGCAGGACAAGTACTATCAGTTACCGAGTATACAGATACAATTGCCACTGACCGGAGACCAAAGCTTCTCACACTCATTGTGTTCTGTGATCACATGAGTTTATACCACCATCTTGAAGCATTCATTGCAAACAAACTTTCAGTTAGAAGTGTTTTGGAGAGCAGGAGAGTAGGAGAATGCTATAGTCTCTAGGTAAATGCCATACAGCGCGTAATCCCATCTCCATGCACAGTACGCCTGTATCAATGAGACATTTCCAGCTCGATTGGGAGAACCTTAATGCCGTTTTCTTGGACTTGGATGCCTTGAGAGCCTCTGATCTGCCTTTCCTCTCCTGCTAGCACCTCCCTCCACCCTGCGTGCACCTTACATCTTGATGCATTTGTTGGGAGGCTTCATTTGAAGCCTTTCTCGGATGTCCTCAGGGCAACTTTTGGCTCCTCGGAGTTGAATTTTGCCCCTTAAGAGGCCTCTGCAAGGGATCAGGCAGCGGCAGCATGCAGACTTTCTTGTTTGCCTTTGGAACAGCGGTGGTTTTTATCTTCAAGATTGCTCCCCCACTTGAAGCAATCTGCCCCGCAGCAAACAGCTGTCTGCACCCAGATCTCCCTCTAGATGAATTAAATCCTTCCAGAGGCTAATGTTGGCTGGAAAAAGTGCTTTTGTGCATCTATTAAGCAGAACGGAGCCCTAAGCAACAACCTTTGATGTATATTTTGTGAATGGGGAAGAGAAAAAAAATCAAAAACATTTTATTTCCTGCCAAACTGTTTCTTGCAGATGAAAATTTTTGTTGACTGAAGGCTTTACCCAATGTGCAGTTTGCCCTCGCCAATTAAACAAAGGTTGGATTGAGATCGTTTTTCCCTACATTGCCCTTCAATTTCATTCTCTGTGCCGTATGGGCATAATACTTCATCAGCAAAGTGGGTCTGATAACTGTCTTCCCAGTCTCCATCTTGTTTGGTTTGCTGAGAAACAATTTTCATCCAGGCATAAAATACTTTGTTCAGAGTCAACCTTCAAAAGGTGGAAGTTTAAGTCTATAGGCAGGTTAAAAATTAAATGAGGGTACTTATTTTTGGGGGGCATTAGTTTTGCCTCAGTACCTTGGATCCCTATCTTTCATAAGATCTAAGATCAATGTACCTTAAGGTAGCAACATTTGTCATAATTGCCTGATACATTAGCATCTTTCAATACCAAATATTAACTTTGACTCTGAGATCAGTAAACCATATAATGATTTTGAGCAAGGAATAATAACTTGACTTTTGAGGACGAGTGAAGCTAATAGCAAGCTTTGGAGACAATGACATATCCTTAGACAGAACTGAAGCTTAAAATCTAATGAAATGTTTCTTGAGCCCTATTTATTGAAAGATGAGAACTTGGTTTCATTATTCAATGATGAATACGAATTTAGGCATACAGAAGCAAACCACAAGATATAATAAGTGAGCAGGCTGTTTTCAACCATTCAGCCTCACAGCAGGCATAAGTCCAATATTTCATGTTCCCTGTATCAGGAGGGGAAGAGCCTAAGGAATGTTACTTTCAGTAAAAGCAAAAAAATAAAAATTTCATCCTTGTAGAGAAACATTTATACCTCCAGTCTTTGCAGAGCAATGAGAGTGAGAAGATTTTTTTTAATTTTTTTTAAGCTCTTTGAAAATCCAGACCACACTATTGATTACTAACTATTCGTTGCTGAAGGCAGTACTCTGTATTCAATAAATTAAGCTTTAATTCCTGAGTCCAACAAAATAATTGACCTCAAAAAGAAGATAAATGAATAGGCTGTCCTGAGCTCATGATTAGAATCCACTTTCTAGTCTCATTATATTAGTATTTTTCAATTCAGTGATTTTTCCATTCTTCTCTAGTTTCGTTCACAATCTATAACACATTTCACCCAGCTCCTCTATCAACAAGGCCAAGCTGTTTTCATTCTTGGTTTCAAGAATGAAAGATTTGAATATGGTATTTTTATACTTTAGTATTAATATTGATCATTTAATATCCTTTCCATTTTAGGACAAACTAGGTAACTAATATTTCTGAAAATTTATGAAATGTTCTTGATTGCATAACATGGACATAGAACATACAGAAATATTTTGATTAATTGATCCTTTGAAAATTTTGAAAAATTTACTCTATTTGCACCAATGCCGATTTTCCTTACTGAATCCTTGAAGCTTAGGGAGGCTTAATAATGTTTATCCTGATTTCACATTTGGGAAAAAATTAGGATAAGAAATATTTGGTGGCTTGGATAAGATCACACAGGGTTTGTAAACCATCACCTAGGAAATCCCTCAATTTTTGCTGCCACTATAGCAACAAAATTTCTATATTTAGGAAAGCGTATTCTTTCATAGTAAAAAGGTAAACATGTGAATAGCGTCCTTTTTAAGGTTTGATGCTTTGGTTTCATTTGAAAACAACTATAAATAATCCTATTATTCTTACAGGCACCATCTAATGATCAGAACGGTGGTTCAATGTTACATTTTTCAGAACCAAAGTGGCTAAATCAAGGTCTTCTAATAAAGCAGAAATAAGGTGTTAACTTCCAAGGAATCTGTAGAGAGATTCATGGCTTCTTTCCTTCTGTGTCTCAGGAGAAAACCCTCCAGGGTTCCAGAAAAAAAGAAATTACTTGTTTGTTTGCTTGTTTTTGTTTGTATTCCTACTGGGACTCCTTGAGGTGTGCTGGACTTGCTTTGTCCTTGCATTAGCTGAGAGAGGACATGGTATCAGAGAACGGAGAGAACTATGAGAGGTCAAACAGGATCTCTCTAATGTTGGGAACTTGAATTTATAAACTCGGACGCATTATCTTGTCTTAGCCTCTTCCCCACCTCAAATCACATTCTCCAAATGGGATAAGACTTGAGCTTCCTTCCCGAAGTTCCTTTGTGCAAATGGATAGGTGTCCTTATTTACATGAACTATGTCTCAGGGGGGCCTCATGTGAGGCCCATAGAGGCTAACAGTACCCAATGACATTAATTTCTAATTTCTTGGGCTCCTGGGTGGCTCAGTGGGTTAAAGCCTCTGCCTTTGGCTCAGGTCATGATCCAAGGTTTTGGGATGGGGCCCTGCATCGGGCACTCTGCTCAGCAGGGAGCCTGCTTTACCCCCTCTCTCTCTCTGCCTGCCTCTCTGCCTACTTGTGATCTCTCTCTCTCTCTCTCTCTCTCTGTCAAATAAATAAATAAAATCCTAAAAAAAATTTCTAATTTCTTGCATCCTATAAGTGAGTCCACTAATATTCAAGTCCTGCGTGATAGCAGAATTCATTTCTTGGTGTACTCTTTTTCAGTTAGAACTTTTTAGGCAGGAAGCCCAATTGCCTATATTTTATTCAAACTCTATAAAATGATAGTTTATATTTATAATGACAATGCAAAGTACTTCATAACTTTCTGATTCATTATGGCAAACTAAATTATGTTCATTAGAGCTTTGGTATTAAGTGAATTTAATTGCATTATGAATCTCTGAACACTGATAATTGATTGCTATATATAGCAACTACGAAGAGTCCAAAATATTACACTAATTTAAATATCCCATTTATGAACTAGTCCAAATAACAGCAATTTAATTGAATTTGGTATTAGAACTGATTTGTAAATAGGTCGGAGCAAAAGTTTTGTATCAGTATGCATTGGTTATTATGTTAATGACAACACTTTGCAACATATTTTGATTTGAGTTTATATCAAATTAAGATTTCCTAAAATTTAACAATAAATGAAAAAAGAAGCAACTACTTTGGAGGAGAAGTGAATGGTATACTCCTAATGTTAACGGACGTTCTCTCAAGCGGATATCATGTCTTCTGTTTTCTTTGACTCATAGAAGATCATAGATATAGGGCAAGTCTTGTGTAAAATACTGTCACCAGTTCATTGATATCTTAACCACGGGATATATATTTGTTTGAAAAGGTCCTTTAGGAACTGTTGTTTCTAAGCTAAGTAGATGCATGGGGCATTCCAGATCTCACCCATTCGTAACGGTTTCCTCGTTTTCTTCCCAGAATTTTTCCGAGAGCTCCTGGAGAATGCAGAAAAGTCACTGAACGATATGTTTGTACGGACCTACGGAATGCTGTACATGCAGAATTCAGAAGTGTTCCAGGATCTTTTCACAGAGCTGAAAAGATACTATACTGGGGGCAACGTAAATCTGGAGGAGATGCTCAATGACTTCTGGGCTCGGCTCCTGGAACGGATGTTCCAGCTCATCAACCCACAGTATCACTTTAGCGAGGACTACTTGGAATGTGTGAGCAAGTACACAGACCAGCTGAAGCCGTTTGGAGATGTACCCCGGAAACTGAAAATTCAGGTCACCCGCGCCTTCATTGCTGCCCGGACTTTTGTTCAGGGGCTCACTGTGGGCAGAGAAGTTGCAAACCGAGTTTCCAAGGTAATTGAAAATCTGCCGTCTTTCTAATTGTTCTTCCTCTTTCGCTCTGTTTTTAAAACAACCGTTCAAAAAAAAAAATTTTTTTTTCAAGGTGAAAGTTCTCCCTTACAGCAGACCTTGCTCTTAGAGAAATCAGATAAAGGTCAAGGTTTAATTCTGGTTTTTGTTTTTTTTTCTTTTCTTGCTTTGTGTGAGAGAAGACAGGATTTCAGTCCATTCCATGTTTGGAACATAATGCCAGCATTCATCAGCGATATAGCAGAGAAGCTTTTATCGGGAATGGTGCGGAAACAGGTGTCTTGTAACCAGGACCACTTGGCACTTGTGATCAGAGTTTTCAGAATGATAAATAGTCGTGAAACAGTCCATCTGGAGGTTCTAATCCTCGAGGAAGTCACAAGGCGATAGACTTCATGCGGTCTGCAAGTAGAGACAAGCTGCTGTTCGGAAGGGCAGCTCCTGGCATTTCTTCTTCTTTATCACTCTTGTGAAAGTGGCCAAATTCCTTAGTAGTGGAGGAAGATCCCTTTGCTAACACCTGTGCAACTGGATTAGGGAGGAATAAGGAATACAAAGTATAGATTCTGGCGGAGAATTCCTTTTGTTATCCGTTAGCTTTGTAATTCAATGCCACATACTACATTGGGCTTATAAGCAAGATAAATGACTAATACCCATCATGCCTTTCCTTGAGGATATCTCTAAACCTTTAATGCAAGGGGTCTTTCTCCACTGCTTTCTTTAAACATTGACTGTTTCCTGTGTATAGGATATTTGCCTTTGTTTAAATTCTTCCTTGACATGCAACTGTCCTTAGGAGATGGGCTTGCCCATTTATGAGGTCAGCCCCACAAATAAACTGGAAGGTGATTACTCTAAGAGGTAAAGTAAAAACGATACGTAACGGGAATCTGGTATTATGTCGCCTAAAAAGGTCATATTTGTACAAAGATTAATTCCCAAAACTACTTTCTTATTGCTATGGCAATGAGCTACACACTTCTCATAACTATGGGTACCATGCTACCATGTTTCTTTTACTCCACTTTGAAGTCCTCAGTATTTGCATCTTGCATGAAGACTGTGTATACCCTTCAAAAGTGTTTCTCCATGGCACTATTTATAAATTTCATAGCAATCCATTTTTAAATTACATGTCCATACCCAGTTGATGTGGGCATAGGGAAAGACTATTTTCAAGAAGTTTCTAAAAATGATAGTCACATGGGATTTAATAATATAAGGGGCATGTGATACTGATGTAAAAAACAATGTTTTTTTTTTTCAACTGAAAATCAATAATATTCTAGCAGTAAAGGAACTAGAGCCCCAAAAGTAGATTAATAAAGAATTAGCCAGGTGGAATAGCAAGAGGAAATATCACTTGGGAAAGTCTAAAATATAGAAAAGTACAAGAAATAAACATATACCCCATATATTCTTGAACAGATAGCTTTTTTGAAAAAAATTAAAAAATAAAGATAACTTTAGTTATCGGGGCTTCAAATTGAAGTCTTTGCTTTTGTTGAAGAAAGAAACACACAACCAGCTTTTAAAACAACACGAGATAAGAAATTCAAAGCATGGACTGATGTATGCAATGCAACATCCTTGATTGTTTACTTGGATTCTGGCTGAGTGGGAATAATAATTATATGCAAATATTTTGGCCTGGGGATGTTCTGGTGCAACAAGAGAGTGTTTTCTAGCAAAGTATCTAAAAAGCCTTGGGAGAGGCCACTGCCAATTCTCAGAAGGTAGCATTAACAATTGCCCAGAGATGCCCCCCTCCCTTTTATCATTCCCTATCTCAGTCTGAGGTCTTTGTAGATGAAAATCTAATCTACTAGTCTTTCTTGCCTAGAGGTTGACATCATGGAGCAACCACCAGTAGAGTATGGCTTTGCATTTTTTTTTTTTCCAGACCTGATGAGAAAGAACACTGAGCTCATGCTTCTCCTGATCCTTGCATGGGTAACATCCATTTGCCGAGCAACTGCTGTGGGTGTGTGATGTCGTTTGTGGTCCTGTGACCATGGAATGTTGACTGTTCCGTGCAGACATTGGCTTGTCTGCTCTGAGTTTCATGAGTCCTAATCTAGGCAAATCATAAATCCTGGGTTGACATTTGTGCACTACCTTCTGGTAGAAAGATAGATAGAAAGAGAGAGAGATACAGATAGAGATATGCGGTTTAAAAGAAGCTGAGCATCTTTTTTTCTAAAATACTTTATGGGGGTACCTGAGTGGCTCAGTCAGTTAAGCATCTGCCTTTGGCTCAGGTCATGATCTCAGGGTCCTAGGATCGAGTCCTGCATCAGGGTCCCCGTTCTATAGAGAGCCTGTTTCTCTCCCTCTCCTGTTCCCCTTGCTTGTGTTTTCTCTCCCTCTCTGTCAGATAAGTAAATAAAATCTAAAAAAAAAAGAAAAAGAAAATACCTTATGACTCAAGGATTTAAACATTTTTACCAATGAGCTTTCTCTCCTAATGATTACCAGATGGTCAGTAGCTGGGTAAACCAGAAAGAGATCTACTAGGATTATTGGTGTGCTGATAATTTTCAGCACCCAAAGTATTTTTTTGTAATAAGAATAAAATATTACAGGGCTAAATAAATTAAACAGAGAAGGAAGAATGGCGTTGGAGATATAGGCTGTTCATATATCAGAAACCTCCCTGTGGTCCATTGAGTGATTTAAAGTTGATGAAATGATTGCAGAAGAGGGAAGGAATTCAAGGTAGAATTCCCAAATGGAAATCAACAAACTAGGTTATCTCCTGCATCTTGATTTGGAGAATACTTTTTTTTTTTCTTTCAGTTTCTCTTCTCTCTTTCAGTGGCTTACTAAGTCTTGGGGAAGATGTCATTAATAGCTTCTAATTAATTGTTTTGACTGGGAAATTTATCTCTTTGGCAAAACACAGCCATTTGACACAAATATTTTGACATGATATCATAGGGAATTTTCTTACTAGAAGAATGGAGGAATACTTTGTAGGTATCAACACAGTTATTTTTTAAATTTCTTCTTTGCCACCTTATAGATAAAAGCCTTGTCTTCTTCTAGGTACTGAATGAAGCTAGTTAATTTTAAGTAACTGTAACGGGAGATCTGGTTCTACACTTGATCTTAGCCAAAAGGCTGAGAAGCGATGGAGATCCGGTTCTTAGAAGTGTTGAACGATTCTGGAGTGAGCATCTGTGGTCAGCTAGCCAGGATTCGTTTTCTCTTTGAATGACTATTTTTATCTAGTGCCAAGGGTCAACAAAATAAGGAGATTTGGTATCTTGCATACTTTATTGGCGGATGTATAAGTGGACAGGTTCACTTTGGATAGCAATTAGAAAATACCTGTACCATTGAAAAAGTGCATATTCCAAAACTCCATTTCTACCCCTGGAATGGATCAGGTAGGCATGTACATGCGTGTACAGGTAGATATGTAAACGCATGTTAATAGCAGCACTGTTTGCAATAACATGAAAAGTGAAAAGATCACAAACGTCCCATCCTTTACATCATGAATCCTTTACACCATGAAATCCTATGTGGCATTGAAAATAAGTGAACTATAGCCACACTTGTGGATGAATCACAGAAACCCTATTTTGAGAGAAGAAAATCACCAAAGCATACAATATATATAAAGTTCAAATACTGTATAAAATGAAGCAATGCAGTATTTAGGAATAAAATATATGTGAGAAAAAAATTTAAGCTGTAAACACAAACATCAGATGGTCATTACCTTTGGGGGTTAGGTTTGGAGATTTTATATATGAAGGATACACAGGGGTTTCTAAGGTTATTGATAACATACTGTCTTAAGCTCTAGGCTGTGTGGTGGGTGGAGAGTGGATTTACAACCATTTTAATGAAAAAGATTGGAGTGGGGAAGGACTTTGCCATTGTTCCTCTCTGATTCTCTTCATTAGTTTAGATATGATCAAGTCCTCGAGTTACCCTCTTTAGTTTATCAGGTTTACTGCTGCTCCTGACTTTTTAAGCATTGACTTTCCATGCCCCATATTGTGCTGAATGATACTAGGTAGGCATGGAAGGCAAAGCCCTTAAAGGAAAATAAAAAACAAATTTTGATAGTGTTGTAGCCTGGAGAGAAAGCATCTGGACTATTCTTTAACATTGTCCTTTTCTGACAACACCACTCTCGTGCCCTTATATATATACACCCATTCGTGACTAGAAACAAGGATGTCAGCTTGTCAGACACTGTGAAGCCCACAGACAGAGGCCTGCCTGAAGAGGTGTTAACAGGTTGTCTATTTAGACCAAGCTTCAACTATGTATCACGAAGGCAAATAGAGAAATGACTCTTGTGTCTTCACGGATCTGTCCTGATGCCATTTAAACAAAGAAGACATGATTTTCCCATCTTTCTGCTTTAATAAAAGTGAGTTCCATGGATAAACACTGTAAATTATGTCAATACAACTACATCAGCTATGCAAGTCATTTCAATGATTCTTTCCAGAGAGTGCGGTGGATAATAGAGGTGAGATCCAGAGAACTTGCACTATTGCTAAAGACTGCCATGGATCTTTTTTTCTGCCTGTCTGTCTATGTATCTATCTGTCCACTTATCCATCCATCCATCCATCTACCTAAAATCCTTCTTTCTTGTGGGTCATGACTTTGACAAGAAAGTCTGGCTTTTAGTCTTTAGGAAGACCAGAATATATTCATCAGTAGACACCTGCCATGTCTGCTACACACATTGTTGTTTTTGTATGAAGAGCCTCCTGGCTGGTTCATCTACCTGAGTAAACAGCTTTGCATTAACAATGTAATGCCTAGAAAGCAATAAACAGAGAGTCAATTTTCAATAAATGTGGTTGATGGACTATAAGGCTGAGAAAATTTATCATCAAATTTGATGAAATGAAGGCTATGAAATACATCCATTGAGAGCCTTCTCTGATCGCAGTGGAAAACCATTCTGAAGAATTTACCATGGATAAAATTTACAAGAGAAATGG